CGTCTCTCGTGCATGGCCGATACACCAGCTCGACGTCAAGAACGCCTTTCTCCATGGTAATCTTGACGAGGTGGTCTACTGCGAGCAACCACCTGGCTTCATCGACTCTGATCATCCTCAGCATGTCTGTCGGCTCCACAAGTCCCTCTATGGCCTCAAGCAGGCTCCTCGGGCTTGGTACCAGCGCTTTGCTCACTACGCGCACCGTCTCGGCTTCGTCGCCTCTCAGTGCGACGTCTCCCTGTTTGTCCTTCGACGGGGCGACGACCTGGCTTATTTGCTTCTCTATGTGGACGATATTATCCTCACCGCTTCCAGCGCTGGTCTTCTTCAGCACATCACCGGTCTTCTTCATCGCGAGTTCTCCATGACCGATCTCGGGGATCTGTCCTACTTCCTCGGCATCTCGGTCACTCGCTCGCCGTCAGGGATGATGCTGTCCCAGCGCCAGTACGCCATCGACCTCTTGCAGCGCGCCGGTATGCTGGAGTGCAACCCGTGTCCTACTCCCATAGACACCCGTTGCAAACTTGCAGCTGATGACGGTCCTCTCGTCGCGGATCCCACTGAGTACCGCAGCTTTGCAGGCGCCCTTCAGTACCTGACTCTGACGCGCCCCGACATCGCACATGCTGTCCAGCAGGCATGCCTCTACATGCATGCTCCTCGGGAACCGCATCTCAACCTCGTCAAGCGGATTCTCCGATATGTCCGTGGTACACTGGATCTTGGTCTCTGGCTGCGTTCTTCCTCGGCTTCGACACTCACCGCGTACTCCGATGCGGACTGGGCTGGCTGCCCCGACACTCGCCGATCTACCTCCGGCTATTGTGTCTATCTTGGTGATAACCTTGTGTCCTGGTCATCCAAACGCCAGGCCACGGTATCTCGTTCGAGCGCCGAAGCAGAGTACCGCGCCGTGGCTCATGTCGTGGCTGAGTGTTGTTGGCTTCGCCAACTTCTCCAGGAACTCCAGCGTCCCCTTCACTCCGCTACAGTCGTATTCTGTGATAATGTCAGCGCTGTTTACATGGCTTGCAACCCGGTTCAGCATCGCCGTACGAAGCACATCGAGATTGACATTCACTTTGTTCGGGAAAAGGTGTCTCTCGGTCAGATTCGGGTTCTTCATGTGCCGTCCTCACAGCAGTTTGCAGATATTATGACGAAGGGTCTGCCGTCCCAGCTGTTTTTGGATTTTCGGTACAGTCTATGCGTTCGCTCGCCCGACGCATTGACTGCGGGGGGATGTTAAAGTGACATATCTGTATAAGCTGTGTACGTTTATTTTTCTACCTTATCTCACCAAGCCTGTTCGGTTGGAGATCTTCACGGTAGTTCTTTCTTGGCTCTCAAGACTTTGTACACGAGGCCAATATATATTGAGCTGATCGCCCCTTTGCGTGGCGTGTCTTCCCTCAAACCTTTTCTTTCCCTATACGTTTATACTCCACCCGCTCGAAGCTGCATTTGACAAGCTCGCGAACAAGTTGGCACCCCCAACTGAGGTTAAAATCATCCATAGAAAGGTCACTGTTGTTGATCAAAGTGACTTTTCCTTGAAACAAGCTAGTTGAATGGAAATCGAAGTGGATAATTTCTTCACATGAGATGGACGCATGTGACTAGTCCTATGGAGAGCTTTGACCGTCTAGAGTCCTTATCCTTAGAACATAGATGTACCACTTCTTCTTGGGGAGCCGGCTGGAAATTGGAGAGCTAGCCTCCTAATTTTCCCTTTTTGATGTTCAGCGTGTAACACATGTCAGCTAACATACCAGATCATCTTTGCGTGAAGGATGTTCGACGTACCGGCCCATCTTTGTGCTAATTAAGCATGCTTGGTCGCTGATAGTCACCAAGAATTGGTCTGACTCCAAACCTCCTTTCCTGCTCATCGGCCTGATGACTGATTGTGCCAGGAAAGGAAGCCTGTTGGCTGATTGTGCCAGGATTTGTTTTGAATGTACTCCCTCCCTCCGTCTCATAATGTAAAACGTTTTTTTTAACACTTATGGGACGGAGGGAGCAGCTTTCAAAGTTTGACGCGAAAAGAGGAAAACATGGGCGCGCGTTGAGAATATTCCACCCCGGCCCGGCCGGCCAGCTGCATGTGGTTGAGGAGTACTGAACGTAACGGGAAGTTCGCTCGCAGCAGACCATGTATGGCGGCGGCACGTACGTGTCCGGTCAGCACAAGAAAAGAAACCACCGCGCCACGCTCTACTTTTCCTCCTCGATCGATCTTGACCTACAAAACCAGACGATATATAGGTGCTGACTATAGCCCATCATCACCTAGCTAGAGATCGACCATGGCAATCGCATTGGCAGCCTTCCTGCTGCTGCTGCTGCTGCTGCTACCGCTCTTCTCCCTCGCCGCTGTCTTCCTCCTCCATACCCATGCGCGGAGACCCCACAAGGCGGCGGCGCCCTATCCGCTGCTCGGCCACCTGCCGCAGTTCCTGGCGAACCGGCACCGCATCCTGGACTGGCTGGCCGAGGTGCTCGCGCGCCAGCCCACCAGCACGCTCGTCTTCCACCGCCCGGGCGGCGAGCGGGGCGTCATCACCGCCAACCCGGCCAACCTGGAGCACGTCATGCGCGCCGGCTTCGACAACTACCCCAAGGGCCCGCGCTTCGCGTCGGCGCTCCACGACTTCCTAGGCCATGGCATCCTCAACGTCGACGGCCAGGCGTGGGGCGCGCAGCGCAAGGCCGCCAGCTACGAGTTCAACACGCGCTCGCTGCGCCTCTTCGTCGCCCGCACCGTGCACGGCGAGCTGCACGGCAGGCTCCTCCCGCTCCTGCGCCGCGCCGCCGGCTCCGGCTGTAAGATTGACCTGCAGGACACGCTCGAACGCTACGCCTTTGATAATATCTGCCGCGTCGCCTTCGACCACGACCCCCAACAGCTCCCGGACGAGGATGATGCCGGGAGCACCGCGACCGCGAGCAGCAGGTTCGCCGACGCGTTCCGTGACGCCGCCAATCTCAGCGCGGGCAGGTTCCGTTACGCCGTCCCGGGGCTCTGGAAGGTAAAGAAGGCGCTCAACCTGGGCTCCGAGCGCCGGCTCCGCGAGTCCATCGCCGTGGTGCACGGCTTCGCCGACGGCATCATCCGGCCGCGGAGGGAGGAGATGAGCATGGGCTGCGAGAAGCACGACCTCCTGTCGCGGTTCATGGCGAGCCAGGGCGAGAGCTACACCGAGACGGCCCTCCGCGACGTGGTGATCAGCTTCCTGCTCGCCGGCCGGGAGACCACGTCCTCCGCGCTCACCTGGTTCTTCTGGCTGCTGTCCTCGCGCCCGGACGTGGAGCGCCGCATCCGCGAGGAGGTCGCGGCCGTGCGCGCCCGCCGTGCAATCTCCGATCTCAAAAGAGCGGGGTTCGACCTGGACGAGCTGAGGGAGATGCACTACGTGGCTCGACGCCGTGCATCACGGAGTCGATGCGGCTCTACCCGCCGGTGCCGGTGAACTCGGTGCAGGCGCGGGCGGCGGACGTTCTCCCGGACGGCACCGCGGTGGGGGCGGGGTGGTTCGTGTCGTACAACGCGTACGCGATGGGGCGGATGGAGTCGGTGTGGGGCGAGGACGCGCGGGCGTACCGGCCGGAGCGGTGGCTGGACCCGGACACGGCGGAGGGGACGTTCCGGCCGGAGAGCCCGTTCCGGTACATCGTGTTCCACGCGGGGCCGAGGATCTGCCTCGGGAAGGAGATGGCGTACATCCAGATGAAGTCCATCGTGGCGTGCGTGGTGGAGGAGTTGGAGGTGGCGGTGGACGGCGGCTACACGCCGCGGCAGGTGGCCTCGCTCACGTTGCGGATGGCCGACGGGCTCCCGGTCATGGTCAAGGCTAGATCCTAGAAGGAAATTGAGTACATTACGTGTACAGGATGGAGGGAAAATTGTGCTTTGAACAAGATTTCCCCCCGTGTAGTACAGAAGAACGTCAGTGAGTCAAAGATGAATTCTGTGTCCAATAATCAAAGTGGTCTATTTCTTAGCTGCTAGGTAGGAGTACTGTCCAATAATCAATTCCAATGGCACATCTAGGGCTTCATGAACAGAGATGCTATACCTTTGTGTGTGTGTAAATATACATTCAAGTACTACATACAACATGTGTGTAAATTACATTAGAGTCCGAAATTTGTGCTATCAGGAGCGCAAAAAACGTCATTCTGGCTGGCACTGCCTCCTCTTTCTCACCACCAGTAGCAGCAGACACTGGTCCATCCATACTGGTGTGGGCGTGTGGCCCACGGCTCTGCAGCTGGCGTCCATGGGTGTGGTCTTCTCTCTGATGCGGGGTGAGCCATGTTAGTGGTGGTGGTGGCTTCTCCCTGCCTGGTGCTAGGCTCATGCATCGGATCCAGTATGCTCTCTAGTGGGTTTGAGGGTCGTCTACCTCTTTGCTTGGCGATCGACCTACAACAGGGTTTCGGTGGGGCCGACTGGTGCCATGGTTTCGCAGAAGGCGGCCATGGTGATGAT